CCAAGTGTAATGAGGCTGGAAATAGAAAGAAGTCTTGAAGTTAATTTTAGTTTGTGACTCTGATTGACCGGCAAGTGAAACACACAAAATGTTGCTAAACCCATGGCTTTCTTTGTTCTCGAGAATGTTCGCGCACATAGTAGGATAGTTGTTTTTTTTTTTTTTGTTTCTGAGGTGCTGGCACTGCAGAGAGTCATATACACTCTTTCAGCAGCCTCAAACCACTGGACACAAAGGGCGCGGCAAATCAGTCACTCCAACCGGTAAAGAATTTTCACTTATTTTAAGCATCTAAAAAATGTAGGTAGTCACCACAGGTAGATTTATTAAAATTAAAAGGCGGCTTGGCGATCTTCGATAACTTTATGGCCACACATTGCTCAGCAGTCTAGGCCTCCCTGCTGCTTCTAGTTCGAACTTCCTTATTGTTGCAGCTAAAAAAAGAAAGCCTTTTAATAATTTCGGAAGAAGTCGTCAAAAGTCTTATCAATGAATGACTTTGTACATGAAAAAGTTAACATTGCGACTTTTGCTAGTTTTTTGCGCAGTGTAGTTTTCAAAATCGGAAAGCGAAATTTATTCTATGCGGAAAAGGATTATTTATGCCATTTTTCATTGCTTTGTCACTTATTTCGAAATGTAATTTGACCGAATAAGTCTTGAAGCAGTAATGTGTGTATGCGTAATTATAGGGTTCAGAGTTAAAAGTTTCCAGAAGATAAGGCTTCACAAGAGGCAAAACGGAATTTTCTTATGACTTTAAGTGGTCTTGGTCGAATTGGTAAGAAGGACTAGAGAAAATTCTGAAAGGAACTCTTTCGGTAACCGTAGGAAAGCTTCAGTACTGTAAGCAAATGATGAAGAAACGCACACCTAATTGCTTTCTCTCTTCCTCTCTCTTTCTGGATAGCAAAACTGAACTGTCGATGCACTGAAGTGAAAACTGAAAATCTGAAATTTTTTTCATATTGTTTTTGTTCAGAAACTTGTTCGGTTTTAGAAAAAATAGTCGAAAAAAAGGTTGGTTATAAGTTTTAGTACCCTCAGGACCACCAATTCCGGGTGCAATAGCTGTAGC